TACACACACACACACACACACATATATATATATATGCATACATGCAGTGGGTATATAAAAGAATCAATAATATATATATATATATATATATATTGATCCAAAGTGGAAATTAAGGTGCTACAGCATCAACAGAAAAACAAAAACACAAGACAAATTAAACAATTCAATCAATCAATAATCACAGTAATCTGAATATTTATTGATTACAGAGTTCCATGCAACAACCTAATTAGCACAGTAAACTCAAAAACACCTCCACACATACACACTCAACACTCTCACATTATATAACATTTAATGCGGCATTCATTCAATACGTAAGATATCAAGTTAGTTATATCAGCCTGGCATTTTTGTCTTTATGTACCCCCAAAATATATCAAAATCAGTTTTAATACAGAAATTAAAAACATGCTCATTATAGAAAGGGTGCAGGCTACTCAAGTCACTATATGAATGAATTGCAAGTTTAATGTATTTAATAGCTAGGAGGGAGAAAGAGTGTCACATCACTGACACAGTTCCTATATTTTATTGCAGACTGCATTGACGATTTGCATCAATCATGCTTTTGCTTGAGGTGAAAATGTTTTAAAAGCATCTCACCTGCTATAAAGCCAAAATGTTGTAAAACACCTAAGACTACCGGTTCAAAGCGCACAGCTCTTCAAATCTCCTCTCAGTTTTGCTGTATAGGATTTATTACAATTTGTTCTCTGTTCTTACTCTTGTACTCTTTTATGTCTCTTTAGATCTTTTTCCTTGGAGGAGTCACTGAAGAACTCTTGCTAAAAGAACAACTTGCTGAGGGTGTTTTCAGCATTTCTTTCACCTTTGTCCTTATCTGCTGGCTGGGATGAGGGGGCTTGGGAGCCTTATTGTCGGGCTCCTTTTGGCCTTCTTTTCCACTGCCTTTGGTCTTTATTTCCCTCCTCACGGTAAGTGCGAGGACAGGTAAATTGCTCTCAGGTGTTTGTTCTTATCAATGTAACTTCAACTGGAGGCTACAATCATTATTCAACAGTATTACATCCAGTAAACTCTTCCAGAAAGAAGCATCCTTTTTAGCACAGATGACCATCTTAATGGCCCTTTTATCATGTGATTTGTTTCCTGTAGTGGAGCAGCTGCCAACCATCACCGCTCAGACCTCAGGCTCTCTCATTGCCTTGCCATATGATGAGAACTTCCTGTTCAAGTGTGAAGCCAAAGGCAACCCAAGACCTACGTGAGTGAGATGTCCGGCACTTAAAGGGATAATTCACCTTCAGATGCTGGTTCCCATTGACTTCCATAGTATGGGGGGGGGGGGGGGGCAGAAGTCAGTTGGGACCAGAAACTGTTTGGTTAGTCATTTTCTTCAAAATATCTTTGTATGTGTTCAGCAGAAGAAAGAAATTCATACATGTTTGGAACAACCCGAGGGTGAATAATAAGTGCAGTGTGTTTAGTGTATCTCTTTATTCACACACTCATAATTTATACACATTTCTTTAAATTGACACTGATTAATCTGAAACCAGAATTACATTTTATGATTTAGGTGTACAGACAGATACAAGTCAATGGGGACCAGCAACTGAAGGTGAACTATAACTTTAAGGATGCCAGTGCAGGCAGATGAACTGGAGAAATTTCCAAATGAAATTGCCTTTAATGAGCTGAAAGAGCTTAGCCATTTGTTTGTGCAACATGTGAAAATTCGAAATGAAAATAAATTTTTCATCGCCCCACAGAGAAAAAACAGACATTGCAGATCACATTTGCACAGCGAAGATGAATTTATGTCTAAATAAAATACATTATGTTTTGGTTTTAGATTCCAACTTTTTTATTACACTTAAATACATTTTTTTCATTTTTTTATTAAATTATTTGATAAGTGTCAGTAAGTCTTTAACAATAGATTCACATCTAAAGAAACATTGTTTTTTTTGTTTGTTTTTTTTGTTATAATTAATGCATTTGATGAGAGGAGGTGCACGGAAAAAGAGTTGAAACACAGTAAATTAAAATTAATAATAAGAAGAAGAAAAGTAGAAGAAAAATTAGATATGCACCAACTATACACTCTTAAAAATAAAGTTTTTTTTATTATTGGCATCAATGGTTCCATGAAGAACCTTTAACATCCATGAAACCTTTGATGATTTTTAATTTTGATGAAATAAGCTACTTTTTCCCCTTTTTATATGTGCATGTCTAATAGGTGCCTGTTTTGTGTTTTTAATTGAACAGGTACCGCTGGACGAAAGATGGGATGGATTTTGACTTGCATAAAGACTCTCATCTCATTATAGAAGAAAGTAGTGGGACCTTTTTGATACCCAACACTAAAGAAAAAACGAAATACCAGGGAAAGTACAGATGTTATGCCTCAAACAAGCTCGGAACAGCAATATCAGAGGAATCAGAATTGATTGTGCCTAGTAAGTCACAGTTCATAAATTATAAAGTTCACATTATCTCAGCTGCCTATCATGAATTGAATATAGCAGAATTCTAGAAATTCTAGTATTGAGAATTTCCTCAGATCGGTTCCAGGAAATTTGCATATTACATGTAACCGCTTAAGCACATCCAACATGATGCTGCTCAACTGGTTTTTAATCTTGATAATGTCTTACTGACAGATTCATCTGTCTTACACTTTAGTAAGAAAGTGACTGCTATGAATTTAAAGCTGTTTATTTGTGTTGTTTTTGTGCTTGCTCACAGTGGTTCCCAAGTTTCCCAAGGAGAAGACAGAGCCAGTGGTGGTCACAGAGGGCGATTCGGTGGTTTTGGAGTGTAACCCGCCACAAGGCATTCCACCTTGGCAGCTGTACTGGATGACCAATGGTAGTTCAAGACACTTTAAATTAGTTTCCTGCACATCATGTTTGCCAAATAGAGGGATCCAAGCAGATCATTTTAATGCTTTTGTTTAATGTTAGTTTGAATATCAATTAACCAAACTAATTTTTTTTTTTTATCTAATTCTCAAAATATTAACAAAAATATAATAGTATATTAATGATACAAAAATAACACTGCTTCAAATTTCCTCAGCTGTTACAGCAAACATTATTGTTTCTGATATGTCAGTCTGCTCCTTGCTTTTGGCTAAACAGATTAAAAGATGCGTGCATATATTTCAACCGACTGTATATAACTATCTTTTCTGGCGCCAGACTGGAGTTTTACCGCCTCTGCTAATAACAGGCTTTTGATGATAAATGTTACATGTTGCAATTTGTAAAGAATGCTGGGAATATGTGACATTTGAAGAATTTGATTCTTTCAGTCAAGCCAGTAAAACAATAGATCAGTCAATCTCAAATGCTCACACCTGAACACAGGACAAAACTGTAAAAGTAATATCATTAAAATTAAATATTAAATAATAAAAAATGCCATCATATGCATATAGGCCCAATAATATGCATAATTCTGAAGTGAGAATTTTGATTTCGAAATGTTTTTTTACTTTTTTTATTTATTGTTATTAAACAGCCTGGTCTCAATGTTTATACATAAGTTAGGTATTAGTACGTAATGTTTACAAGACAGTCGCAGTCCTCTCTGATGGAATACGATAGTTTTGTGTGAGGTACAGTGCGGAATTTATATTTGGAATGATTTTTCTGCTGTAAAACCTGTCGTAACGTTTCCTGAAGCTGCAATTTTTGAATTTGTAATGAGCGTGTCAGCATGGGTATGTTTTAGTGTCTGTGCAAACGTAAGTGTACGTTTTGTAAAACCACATTTTATGTAAAATACATACAGGTGCATCTCAATAAATTAGAATGTCGTGGAAAAGGTTCTCATGAGATCATGTTGCATTAAAGTGATAGTTCACCCAAAAACGAAAATTGTGTCATCACTTAACTCACCCTCATGTTGTTCCAAACCTGTATGAGTTTATTTCTTCTGTTTAACATAAAAGAAGATATTTTGAAGAATGTTGGTAACCAAGTAGATGATGGTAGCCATTCACTTCAATAGTATGGAGAAAAAAAATAAAATAGTAAAATACTATGGAAGTCAATGAGGAACAGCAACTGTTTGATTACTCACAGTCTTATAAATATAATCTTTCATGTACAGCAAAAGAAAGAAATTCATGAAGGTTTGGAACAATTTGGTGCCTAAGTGATGACACAATTTTCATTTTTTGGGTGACCCATCCCTTTATTAGACATTTACTGAAAAAAATCTCTTACTTTCTGTCTTGTTTTCCAAAATAAATAGATAAATAAATAAATCTAAACATTAAAACAAGATAAGAAATATTAGATTTCAGAGATTTAATCTAATGAAATATAATCAGGTTTAGGTTTAGTGAGGGTAAGAAAAATAAACATGAATTATTGAATTTTTTTTTCTTGTTATAAGCATGAACCTTTCATTAACTTTCTCTGAAGGAAATACTTTTTAATACATGTCATTTTTCTTCTTTTCTTCAGTGTACCTTGTTTTAGATATTTTCTTCTGGAAAACAAGACGTTTGATTAAAAATGTTGAGTGCTATTTTTGTACATGTCTTCTCTTCTTGAACTGAAGAGGCGACTTAATCATGTTGAGCCACCTACACTTCATGTGAGGAACAAGAATGTCTGAGCATTCAAAGCTCTGCCCATGATACCTGTTATCTGCTGTGCAGTCTGTCAGATGGGACTGTTTCTGGGCGGTTTGGATGCTTGCCCTCTCCGATGTCCTGTTGCTCATGTTAATCTAACCCTCCTCTCTGTATTGTTCTCAGATCTTCGACACATTGAGCAGAATGAGAGGGTGTCCATGGGCCTCAATGGGAATCTGTACTTCTCTAATACACTGGTGTCAGATAGCCGCGATGACTACTGCTGTTTTGCCTCCTTTTCCAGGATACGCACAATCGTTCAGAAACCACGCTTGGTCCTGAGGGTCAAGCCAAGTATGTGGCAAGAATCTCATGATATGTTTTAAACGAAATGAAATAGAAAAAAAGGTTTATACGCTACCATTCAAAGATTTGGGGTCAGTAAGATTTTTCAGTGCTTTTGAAAGAAGTCTCTCATGCTCACCAAGGCTTCATTTATTTAATCAAAAATACGGTAAAAACAGTAATATTGTGAAATATTAAAATAATTTTAAATAACTGATTTATTTTTGAATGTATTTTAAAATGTAGTTTATTCTTGTGATGCAAAGCTGAATTTTCAGCACCATTACTCCAGTCTTCAGTGTCACATGATCCTTCGGAAATCAATCTAATATGCTGATTTGCTGCTCAAGAAACATTTATTGTTATTATTATCAGTGTTTAAAACTGCTTCATGTTTCTTTGGAAAGCTTGACACATTTTTTTCAGGATTCAAACGAACATCATTCATACAACATTAAAATGTATTTACTTTCACGTTTGATCAACTGAATGCATCCTTTCTGAATAAAAGTATTAATTTCTTTAAAAAATCTTACTGACCCCAAACAGTTCAAAATGAATTGTAGTTTGTATTGTGTTTATATACATATTTTCACAACTAATTGAGATGCACAACAAAAGCTGAACAAAGTATACATACATTAACAGTTACATTTTTAAAATGGTTTTCAGTAATTGTTAATGTGGCAATACATTAAATTGGATGCGGTTTGGTTTAAGTGTATTGTCAGCATGCTGTGCTTTATCATGCTAATAATTTAACAGTAACTGTCTCTAATGTAATCCTTTTTAAAGTCAGCATGACCCTCTTTACTTTCTTAAACATTCCTGGTCTTATTATGATTTATCAGTTCATGTTATTAAAATAATAATAATAGTGATAATAATAATAATGATATAAAAAATTAACATTAAAAAAATCTACCACCCTGACCTATCCTTTGTACAGGTACATAGCATTTATATGTATTGTATATATGCTACATATGTATTGTGTATATGCTTTTTATTACTAATTAAATATGCTGAAAATTCAAACAATTCTTCCAATTTATTATTATTATTATTTTTTTTTAATTTAGGCCAGGGGGATGATGACATCACAAGTGGTGAGTAAAATATTTTATCAAATGTGCTGTGTATCAAATATGCACACACAAAAAAACCTTTACTTGTCTTTTTTGTGGCTTTTCTTGCAATGATCCTTATGTAAGGGCTTTTTTTCAAGATAAAGTTTGTTGGGCTTTAGCACTTGCTAGTTTGTCAGCTATTTCTGGAGTTCAGACTGTGAATTTTTCTTCAGTTTGAGCTGTGTGATGTTATAAGAGTCATTAAAATGTGACAAAAACTTCTGTCACTTTACAAAATTGTGTGAGATAATGATCTGTTCTCTGAGAATATATTTTAAATTGTTTTTCGGACCTTAACCTATTCTTGTTCAGATATGAAGGTAGGTTTCTTTTTTATCCATGTTGTGGTGATTTTCCAATCATTTGTCCCCATTCAGATCAGAAGAGGAAGCCGAGCATTTTGGTGCCCTCCAGTCATTCAACGACATACATAAAAAAAGGAGAAGAGCTGGAGCTGGAGTGTATCACAGAAGGACTGTGAGTTCACTTCTCTATGGCCATGTTGGGTTTACGAACACTACACTGCAGCAAAGCATTTCCACTGACAGAGAGAGTGACACCGGTTTATTTTGGTCTCTTCTCAGGCCTACACCAGCGGTAGAATGGATCAAGATGTTGGAAAATTTACCAACCCGTACACAAATCAAGAACTATGGAAAGCTTCTGACTATATCAAACATCACAGATCAGGTTGAAGGGAAATACATGTGCAAAGCCAAGAATGATCTTGGTGAAGCTGAGCATCATTTCCAAGTTGTTGTGGAGGGTATGCAAACATTTACAAGGTCTTAAGTCCGAATTGTATTAATTTTTATTTTTTTTGACGATTCCCAGTTATTTTAGTCAGTAAATCTGTTTGACAAGAATAATTGGTAACAGTTTACGGTAAGGTTTTGCTTGTTAACATTAGTTAACTACATGAACTAACAATGAAATATACTTCTAAAGCATATTATTAATCTTACTTAATATTAATTTCAAAATGTACTGATAATTATTCCGATCAAAAGTTGTACATCAGTATTATTTAATGACCTGAGATAACATGGGCTAACAATAAACATTTTCAATCACTAACATTAAGAAGGATTATAAATACTGTGATGAATATATTGTTCATTGTTAGATCATTTTAGTTAATGCAATATTGGGACTTATTGTAAAGTGTTTTCAAATAGATTTTTGAATATTTGGGAAATGCCAGGGAATTTTCAATTTGTAATTTCCGGTAGCTGGAAAAAAAAGGGGCTCTGGTTGAGTTCGGTCTCTGTAAAATTACTTGAAATATCATTGTCCAGTATTCACAATCACAAATCACAAAAGGAGTATATAAATATATAGTCTGGTATTTTATATGAATCGTATATATAATTCTCACTATTAACTAGCATGCATATTGCTAGCATATTGGCTGTTTATTAGTACTTATGAAACGCGTATTAATGCCGTATTCTGCATGACCAAATACAAAATTTAAAGTCATGTCACTTACAAACACAGGGGGGCAGTATTGCTCTTAGATAGGAAGTTGCTTTAATCCGTATTCATATGTTGTGTGTCTCAGAGCCGCCTAGCTGGCAGGAGGAGCCAGTGAAGAGTCAGTTAGCAGAGATTGGATCTGACATCCACATCAAGTGTTCTGCTAGAGGAAAACCACAACCCACAATCACCTGGAAGAGAAATGGCCAGCCTCTTGATGGTGTGTTAAACCCCCTCCTCTCCCACCCTTATCATGTCCATTTGACTGAATTTGTCGGCTCAAAGCCACTGCCAAATGTGCAATTACTGGCTTTGAGAACAGTCTGTTGTTCCTTTCTGGGTTTTCTCATCATTTAGACTTGGTAAACAGCAGTGGATTTGTGGCCACCTCTGTATTTGTGCACAATTTACATGCCTTGGTAAAATTATATATCAACAGTAGATGAAAAAATTCAATGATGTATCTTCCAAGTATGTACCTCACAGGTTTAATGCTGCTATAATGATGTGAAATGTTACAATATAGACAGTATAGATCAATATAGATCATTTTTTAAAACTAAATTCTTTTCAGAGTGGGTTTATTTTTGAAAGTAAATATGTGTATAGATGCATAATTTCTAGTTTTGGCTATTTGACATTTCCACTGTTATTGCCCCTAAAAAGGAGAGTTCATTGGATGCATCTTCAATTTTTGTGATTAATAACAATCCATGTTGTCACATGTTCAGATACATTTTTATTAGATACTAATATTTAAAATTAATTTATAAATTGATCAAAAGCAACAAATTCATCAAAAGAATCCTGAAAAAGTGTTAGGTAGTACAACTGTTTTCACTGATAATAATAAGTAATGTTTCTTGATCATCAAATCAGTATATTAGATTGATTTCTGAAGGATCATGTGACACTGAAGACTGGATTAATGATGCTGAAAATTCAGCTTTGCGTCACAGGAATAAATTACATTTTAAAACATATTCAAATAGAAAATGTAAAAATATTTCACAATATTACTGTTTTTACTGTATTTTTGGTCAAATAAATGCAGCCTCGGTGAGCAAAAAAGACCATTCAAATACATTACAAACCTTACCGACCCCAAACTTTTGAAACAACTAGCCCCAGTCTCTCCTAAACACTTTTGGTGCCAATTCAAGCTTGTTTTCTCCCCAGATTTTCCTTCTACCAATTACAAAGTGCTTGATGACAGAATAATCATCCTCAGAGCGGAGCAGAGAGACACTGCAGTGTACCAGTGTGAGGCCTCCAACAGACACGGGACCCTACTTGTCAATGCTAATGTGCTTGTCATGAGTGAGTACTTCACTTACCTGTGCAAATTGGAAAGAAGATGAATATCATATTGTGATTTTCAGAGCACAATAATAGGTCAGCGCTTCTGATGCGCAACCCACCTAATTTACATGTATCAATTAATCATAGCACCAGAAGAGAGGATTGTGGTCCTCGTTGAAGTTTTCTTGCTTTTGATTATGATATGATACTCTTGCTGACATATAATGGCTTAAGGGTTTCAGCAGCTGTTCATTCGTAATTGTTGTAGAAGAAAACATGAAACATGTGCATGAGTGTGCGTCTATGAACTACTTCGGTCACTGTTTTCTGTTTGTAGCTGGCAGAAGAAAAGAGCTCTTTTATATGCTAATAGCTTTTTTACAGTTTAATTGTGATTTCGGGAGTGTGCCTTGGTTTCAAACTACACCGCAGAAAGTGAGCCATATGCCGCACTGGCTGTTTGATGTTTGTCTGTGTGCACGGATGTTTTGACTAATGGTCTGGCTTTCTCTCAGATCATCCCCCTTTGATTCTGACGCGGAATTATCTGGAGTACGCAACCATGTTAGGCAAGAGTGTGATTATGGACTGCAGAGTCTTTAGCTCACCACCTGCCACCATTAACTGGTGAGTTTGGTAGCAAGTGTTGTGATTTTAACACCGTGTCCTAACCAGACGCAACATGATAAGTCACAAGTGAGGTGTCTCTGTTCTGTTAATCAGAGTTTGTCTCAACCAACGCTACATTTTGTTGGTCCCTTGGTTTCTTTATCTGTACACACTAAAATCTCATTGGACTGAAGTAATGCATTCATGTATATTAAACATCAAACTTGGACAAGGATAGACTAATTATGGAAACATCTGAGATTATAAGACAAATTCATCAAATTGCCGTCCAGTGAAGAAGTCATGAAAATACAAGATACTTTATGTAGTTTTACGCTCTTCAGCCCAGTGCGGTGTGCATGTGAAAGAGCGTGCAAACAGAGATAGTACCTCTGATTGGCTGTTTTGAGCTGTTTGACCATTTTCACATTCAATTTCTTGTCACATCACACCTGGTTAGGACACGGTGTATGAGTGTTAATTAAGTGTTACTGTATGGTACCTATCCATCAATTAAAAAAAATACTTAGGCCTATATTTAAGATTTATGTATTAAATGCATATAACATTTTAATCGATTTGGATTCAGGTTTAACATAACCTAGTAAAAATAATGTGATGCATATTTGTTATACGTAACTGAAATAAACTGAATGTGTTTTAAATGCACAGTAACCAGGTGTACATTTATCATGAACAAATCATGAATAAAAATGTATATGTAAACTAATTTCATAAATGTAAACTGAATCTTGCTTGTTCCACAGCTAACCATATTTAATCCATGTTCATATTTAAAAAAATAAAATAAATTTAATACATCTATAAATGTAAGTAATTATTTAATTAAATGCTAAAGTTTTCACACAGATTTATAATGATTCTAAGGAATTTTAATAAATATTTTTTGAAAATATGATTATTTAAATAAAATCAAAAAGATAAGGCATAAGGAAAATCTACAAAAATGTAGGAGGAGCTAATGTTACCATCACTTAATGATAATGACTGTCACACCCCTTTTCATATCCATTCTGTTTTAATAAATGAAATTATTTCTATATAACTGTCTACAAGGCTAAAAAAAAAATAGTTTTTTGATTAGGATGACCAGCAATGGACATTCATGCTGGCCTAAATTGGTCTTCACTGCAAAAAAAATTTAATAAATAAATAAATAGTTGTTGTTTTATTGTCCAGTAAATCTAGTTAAACATCCTTAAAATATATTTCTTAAATTACATAATTAAGATTTTGTTAGAAGTATGCTAAATGATTTTAGTAGGGATTTTAGCGTGGTTTTACTGTAGCTGCTCTTCAGATTATGGGTGAATGATATTTGTTGGGCACAGAGTGCCTAATAACAGCAGTACAGATCCAGTAGGGTCAAGTGAATTAAGTGAAGGAAAAGGGACAAAACATTGAGAAAAGACACTGCAAGATCTATAGCCCTTTTGAAATGTCTGTTTTCTCTAGGGGATCCTCCTTTTGCACTCATTTATGCTGTTTTCTTCTTTGAAAAGTTTCCTTTCAAAAACCTTTGGTCAATTTTCAAAGTCATGGTAACAAAAAAAAAAATAGGCTACATTGGATTCGGTTTTATCAACAGAGCATCTGTAGTCATTTCAGTAAAGGCCCTTCCCATGGGCCTCTGTTTCAGAAGAACTGTGAAGGGTTCAATGTTTGTGTTGTAGGAGAAGAGAAGACCCAGAGGGCTCTCTAGATGGAGAGAGATATTCTCTCCTGAAGAATGGCTCCCTGCAGATTCACAAAGTCGAGATGGAAGATATGGGCCAGTACAAATGTTTGGCAAACAACTCCGAAGGCACCATGAGCCTCACCACTGAACTTTTCATTAAAGGTTAGCCACCTTCCTTAATCAAAAAGCTTTCTGCTTCCTGGTCATTATTGAAACTAAAGGTCTGCTTTTGATAGATTCAACGAGGATCGTAGAACCACCTCAAGACATGAAGGTCAAAAGAGGATCTATGGCGGAGCTGGAGTGCCAGGTGGAGTGCGATCCCACCCTCAGAAGAGAGCTGGAGATCTTGTGGATGAAAGATGGGATGAATATCCTCTCAAACTTCTCTGAAGGGTGGGTGAACTGTTTTCCATGAGTAGTAGGATAAGATAGATTTTCCTCAGTGGTTCAGCTTTGAATTCATCGAAGCAATTCTCCATTTAAGCAAATCCTTGTTTTAGAAAGGTTGTGCTGTCAAAACAGAAAGGATTAGCGCGAGCTATGACAGTTTTGTAGTGCAGACATTTTATTTATAGTTTTATCAGTGCAGGAATCATGGATTAAGTACTTGCACTTTGTAGTCATATAACAGAGCCGAGCTAGATGTAATTGTAAGCTTTTATCAGTAATAGTAAGCTCTTATGGGCGAAATGTCTCTCTTGAAAATCAAAAGCTACTCCAGCTAATGAGCAGGAGCTTTAACCTCTTTTCTGCTGACTGGAGCATGAGGCCCAACAGGATCTTCTGTGTAAATGCAGTGTAATACTGTGCCATGTTTTGTTGTTGCGACTTGTTAGTTATTTGCTTCCAGACAAATTATGTTTGCATCTTTACCTCAGGTCACCAATTAGCAGGCCATGATTCAGATCCACGCTTTAATTTATTAATTAAAAAAAAAAATTGGAGACAAAAACACAGCAAAAATAAAAGAGCTGTGCATTGATTGTCATGAAAACATTTAATGCAGCTTTTATTTGGCATTTCCAACACAACAAAAGCCACAGAGCCGCCTCTGACAATGTGTCTATACCATCCTGAAACAAACTAGATCATTTCCATTATAATCAATGGAGCTGTCTTTTCATTTGACGGATACCTGGTTTCTATTTTTGTCAAGCTGCATAGCAACTTTATAGCAACTTCAGCCACTTTATTTTTTTCCGGTCTGCCTGAAAATTTGTATTTTGTGGGAACTGATTGCTCTGCAGTTTGCTTTGAAGTTTATCTGTGATTCAAAGTCAATAAGACTCCTTTTTACCTTGATGAAGGTTAGATCAGTTGTAGAATGTAGGTTGTAGTCATGTGGTGTGACTCCCGCAAAACCTAATAATTATTTATGAATTAATAATTCATAATACTTATTAGAAAATACTGATTACATTGAAAACAATGTTTGAGATATGTACACTCATATTCAAGGTGTAAGGAAAATATGTTATTAATTTATACTTCAATTTATACTTGGTTACATCACATTTTAGAGGCATTCTATTTATTAATGTAGTTGAAAATGGAGTAAACGTTTTTAGAACCACATGAAAGAGAAGAATACATTTCTAAGAGCTTGGCACATATTTTTCAACTAGATTTTTAAGATGTGATTTTTCTCCACCCTGGACACTCTTATTTGTCAATGACTCATTGTTTCTTGCCTTGTTTTACCATTGACTATTGCTGCCAACATAGAAAGCTACAATAAATATGCCTGGAAATGCACATTGCTTATTTCATTGCTTTTGAAACGATGTAAGATCCTTTGAACATTGTGAAAGCCATTTAGAGACTTGGAACTACTACATGAACAACGTATTTGTGGGTCTGATATCTCATTTAGGAATTCATGAATTTTAATTTGACAGCATTTTGTTATCAATCAACTACCAACTAACTATTATTTTATATTGTACCTATTTTGGGTTATTTGCAGATATTTCACAGATGATGGAATTCTCCAGATTGTCAATGTGAGCCACAGTGATCAAGGGAATTACACCTGTGTTGTTCGAACATCACTGGACCAAGATACAGCTTCTGCATACATAACTGTGTTAGGTACGGTTGAAAGACCTTTTGAGACCAGAATGAATGCCAACTAGATTGTGGTGTTATGTTTATATATTGCTTGAATATCACAATAATAGACCTGCTTGGAAGAATATTCAAATAATAGTGCAGCAATCTCCGCAAAAGATTGTACAGAAAACACAAAACATAGGTGGAAAAGATGTGTAGACTTTGTGATCATTATTGCACCAGTTATTTCTTTAAGCGATTCTGGTTCTCTTATGAATGGTCTTAAAACATTTTTATGATAAGAAGTTTGTTTATGGTGTTTGTGTCTGAAATGTGACACAGATGTTCCAGATCCACCGGTTCAACTGACGCTCTCTGAGCTGAAAGACCGCAGTGTGAGGCTCCAGTGGGTGGCTGCCAGTGATCATAACAGTCCCATAACAGGTAAAACTACACTACAAATGTACTGTGCTGTCAGAGTTACAGAACAAATGCAAAACGGTTCCATTAGCATTGCCTTCATATGTAATTGTACACATTTTCAGTGCTTCTGAAGCTGACTTTTGCTTTAAGCAGATTCCTCTGAAGTCGTTTTCATGGACGTTGCTCGTACTCAAATATTGCTCTACAATATTTCAAGAAGGCTCCCACTGGGGCCGCACCACAGTGTATCGAGAGTGTGCGCTCAGCATATTCAATGACCTCTGTGCTCTGTTCCTATGACTAGAGTTCATCATCCAGTATGAAGAGAACCACTGGGAGCCGGAGAAGTGGAAGGAGATTATACGAGTTGCAGGCAGCCAGTTCTCGGCCCCCTTGACGCTCTACGGCCACATTAACTACCAGTTCAGAGTCATCGCTGTCAATGCTATCGGAAGAAGCCATCCCAGCATGCCCTCCAAAAGATATAAGACACCTCCTTGCGGTAGGGATACCTGTGATCCTTGACAACTTGCTTCCGTAACATGTTATCATCCAATGTCTTTGTTCCTTCACTTTGTCCTTGGTTCACCTTGGACTTGTTTGAAGCATGTCTTTGTGGGGATTTACCTTGAGAAAAATATACAGATGTCTATAAAAGCTCCATAAATTTTAATGCTGTTTTAAGCAAGCGATGTCTCTGACTATCAATGACTGCATGCTCGTCATTATGTGTGATACACATTGGCAGCGTTAGAGGGCAATGGTATTATTGACTGAGACAGATGTTAAATAATTCATATTCACATTTGTACAGCCCCCGACAGGAACCCAGAAAACATTAAGATTGAGGGTCACCTGCCACATCAGATGGACATCAGCTGGGAGGTAATAAAATGCAAACAGCATTGTCAAACAACCTTAATGCATATGCATATATGCATGGCTTGGAAGCAAGAAAAAGACAAATACCCTCGCGCAAGGAGGCTTGGGAGCTAAATGCTCCTGGAGCTCCTAAGAGGTCGGGTGTCTTGTAGTTTTAAAGCAGTAACAACTTAATTTGCACTGGCAGTCAAGTATATGAGCCAATTTCCATTCATGAGCCAAATGATGCTCTATTTATGAGTCACAATTCCTTCAGATTGAAAGTCTGAAAGAAAGCCAAGTGAGGCACCCCAGAAACTAGGTTCCCACGCCAGATTTCACAAATCAACCAGCAAATGTCTCTCGAACTCTTCCATTCTTTCCAAATGCTCAGTAATGTTTGCAGTGCACTGACCCACTTTTCCTTTTAATCACTAGCCACTCTTGCCTGTGGAGCACAACGGTCCCGGTCTGGAATACAAACTGAGTTACAGGCTCCTGGGTGTCGAGGACAGTTGGAAAGAACAGATGATGAAGAGACACTCATTTGTGGTGCGAGACACCCAAACATTCGTCCCCTACGTGGTCAAGATCCAGGCCTTCAACAGCCATGGTTGGGCACCAGAACCCAGAGTGGTGACTGGTTATTCCGGGGAAGACTGTGAGTCAAACAGCATGTTAATGCATTCATCTCACAGTCGTGTGACACTGATTAGCCAAAAATAAACACTTAAGATTAGGAGATTAGTTGGGAGAGTGGTTTAATCCACTCCTTACCAGGATCAGTCATTTCTGCTGAGCTTTTACGTTGTGTTTTTTGGGATCAGACACATTGTTTGCCAAGCACTTATGCGATTATCTTTTGTTTTATTCCATTTTCATATTTTTTCCATCTCATACCCTTGTCTCTAGTCGGCATTTGGCATTGTCTTGAGGATGATGCAACAGGTTGGGCTGCTTTTGTCCCTGCTATTCCTGCATCACTGTAGATATACAGAAATACGGCTTCTTTAGCTGTAGGTAGAGCTTGACAGTTTTCATGCAGTTGTTGCAAAGAGCAGGGATGCAAACTTGACACTTTTCAGTGATAATCGCTGTTTTGAATCCAAAATGCTCTCAGAAAGAAATGTGCAAAAAAAAAAACATTAGGGGTACAACAGCTTGTCATTGGGGCAGCACCCTCAAAGGGACACCTTTGTACCTTCTTTACTCCTAAAGGGATTACTATTATTATTATTGTATAGTAATATTGAATGGCTTCAATAAAAACAGTGTGAGTGTGAGACAACTTAAGTAAAAAAGGAGTCTAGGGTGAGTTTTTCACTATCCTCATGCTCAAATTGACTGTAAATCCACATTTTAAAGCTAATGGGGGTTACATCTTTGTCACTTTTTTCTCCCTGATCAGTTTGCATCCCTGAAAGAGCCTTTCCCATGTATCCACATGTGTCTGTGGATAGCTTCATGTTAGCATGTGTACTTTTCCTGGAAACAGTCAGTGTGTCATCTAATTACAATTCATTTTTTTCCTTGGCAGCTTTAGTTGCTTGAGGAAATGGTTGTGTACGTGTGAATTTGTGAGCTGTAACCCTCTTGCATCAGTTGGGAAAGTTTAACCGTAAACAGATCTGCATTCTGTTGCCCTTTCCAGTGCCCTTGGCGGCTCCTGAAGACGTATCTGTGGAGGTGTTGAACTCTACACTGCTGAGGGTCAGCTGGTCACCGGTGCCCCAAACTGCCCTGAGGGGCCATCTTGGAGGATACACTGTGAGTTCCCGACTCCTTCAGTTCAGAGGTCCTGTGGTACTGGACAAAAGCTGGTGGTCATTTAGCAACAAACAAGCTGTTTATAGCATTTAAAGGGGTCCTATTATGCTCTTTTACAAAGTCTTGATTTTGTTTTGGGGGTGTACTAGAACAGGCTCTCATACTAGGTTGTTCGAAAAACACATTATTTTTCACATGTTTTACATTATTACAACACCTCTCTTCCCAGTCTGGCATGAACGGCTCGAAT